CTGGACAGGGCATCCTTTTCACTTTATGGTGGTGGAGCTTGGAGAAGAAATGATCGGACTTTGAGTATAGGAAAAGAAGGTGGTAATCCCTTGCTACCCTGTGCTCCTTGGGAAACAGAAAACTCAGGCAGATGGGAGATTGGAGAGAAACCAAGAAAGACATCACATATAATTAATAAATGACTAAACTGGTGCCAGAATTCTACCATCACATTTTTGCCAAACAGTCAGGGTCACAGGCAGAGGATTGGAAGGAAAGGTCCCAAATCACCTCCCAGTGTTGAGGTTTCAGAGTTTCTGTCCTTTCACTGGCCTTAGGGTTTTTGGGGGGGAGACACGGTTTGGAGACAGAGTCTCACTCTGTCACCCTGGGTAGAGTGCAGTGGAGTCATAGCTCATAGCAACCTCATCCTCTTGAGCTCAAGTGACCCTCTTGCCTCAACCTCCCTAGTAGCTGGGACTATAGGTGCCATCACAATGGTTCTTCTTTTCTTTTTGGAGTCAGAGTCTCACTTTGTCACCCTCAGTAGAGTGCTGTCAGGTCATAGCTCACAGCAACCTCAAACTCCTGGGTTCAAGTAATTCTCTTGCCTCAGCCTCCGGAGTAGCTGGGACCACATGTTCCCACCACAATGCCCAGCTATTTTTCAGAAATGAGGCCTTGCTCTGGCTTAGACTGGAACCGGTGAGTTCAGGCAATCCACCCGCCTCAGCCTCCCAGAGTGCTGGGATCACAGGCATGAGCCACCATACCCAGTCTGCCTGGTTAGTTTTTCTATTTTCGGTAGAGATGGGGTTTCACTCTTGTTCAGGCTGGTCTTGAACTCCTGAGCTCAAGCAATCCATACACCTTGCCTTCCTAATGCTAGGACTATAGACGTGAGCCATGCGCCCTGCCTTGGTCTAGAGTTTTTATTTTTTTTGCAGTGAACATGCATTTGCACACAAGACGGCAAGGGAGCCCCTGGGAAGACAGGGTGGGGGGTCCCTAGATCAGGGGATCAGGTTACTGGGAGGGGCTGGGTATGGTAAAGCTTCCCTGTTTTTTGTTTTTGTACTAGCAAAAGCAGTAACTGCCTTAGGAAGCCTTTTAGCCTCCTTTTATGGATGACTAAGCAGAGACTAGGAGAGGGTAAGAGACTGCTCAAATTCTCCCAGCTGTTTCTTAACATACCTTGGGAGATCATAGTGGGGCGCTGAACCCGGGTCGGGAGAGACCAGCTGTGTTCTTTTCAGTCTGTGAGAGACGTCCCCACGTCCTTCACTCTGGATGGACTTCCATTTCGTGGCGTTGTCCTGGGCATTATTTTAACTGCCCTGCCCGCCACAGTGGGGATCGCAGTACCCCACAGACAACCGCGCCGCCGCTCCCAGTTGCCACCTTAGCCTCGGCAGGCGCAGACTGTCTCCCCCAAGCCCCAAAGCTTATTCCCAACCAAACACACACTTCTTGGCGAGTGAAGTGGCTCTCCTACCTCCTTGGCTTGAAAACCACCCAAACCGCTTCAAAACATGCATCAGATTATATTTTTGTGGTTTTTAAAAACCCACATTACTTTTAAGAGACAAAGCAGACAAATATTACACAGATAAGAACACCTCAACTCTCAAAAGAACCACATTAAAAAACTAAAAAATAAAAAACTAAAAAAAAAAAACCTCATTTTTTAAAAAACATAATTATTGGCAGGGAGGGGAGGTGGCAAATGGTGCCTTAGGCTTCGTGTGCAAAAGTTGGCTCTGGCTTCTGAAAATAATTTTGGAGATCTGAATCCAAAATAGACAATTCGCCTTCCTTCTCCGGCCTCAGGCTTGTTTGGATACCCGGGCTCCAGGACTTTACAGTGGTTGTCAAAGAAACCGAGTTCCCTAGCGTTCTGAAGTTCAGGGGACTTTTGCCTCCTTCGCTGGAGTCGGCGCCCCGAGGAGGCCCCCCCCCGGGCGCACCTGCAGCGCAGCCAGAGCGGCGGCGGGTCAAGCAGGGCAGGCGCTCAGGTCCCCGCTCCGCAGCGGCTCCCGGGGCAGGCGGCGGAGCCACCGGCCTCGCGGCCGGTCCAGCCCGCGGCGTCGGCCGTGCGCGGAGGAGCCGGGGCGCCAGGGTCCCGTCCCTCTGCCGAGTCACACGTGGCCGCTGGGCTCCACCCCACCGGGACCGGCCTCCGACTCAGGCCGCCGTACTCACCGCGGGGCCCGCCAGCACCAGCAGCGCCCGCAGCTCCTCTCGGAAGTCGGACAGCCGCAGGCGGCGCGGCCCGCGACGCTCGGAGGCGGCCTCCGGGCCTCCT